GTGATGCTTTACCTTCTGGCTGGGAAACAGATGTCAGTCTCGCCTTTATTGTGTTGCCTCTGTGCATCAAGCTTTTCTTCAAGACTTTGTAAGCAGCTGTGTAACCTTCAGGCTGCATGTGGCTATCAGCCACTGGCTTGTCTGGTTTGCTTGGCCAGGGGGTGCCCATCAGCTGGCTGGCCTTGGACCTCAGTTTATTTTCTCCTTGAGTTAAGTTCTGTCTTCTGCCCACTGGCTGTTTTAATACTGTATGATTTTTAACTGCTGCTGTGGCTCTTTGTAATTTAATTTAGCTTTAGTACTTCCCTCAAAGATACGACAGATGTGAACCACTGGCAGTTTTCTTAGCTGCTACACACTCTGATACGATTAGGTTAGCTTTGTCAAGGACAATATACAGAAATAAATTCAGTTGAAATGAATGAGGTCTGGTCTTCCACCCATTTACATACTGCACTGTAAATTGCAGGAGTTATACAGGTTAAGCAATGCAAAGACAACAGGCCCTTTTCAGATTCCCCTGAATTTTTTTCAAAAATCTTTTCACTTACACATTCACCACCATCTTAGATTTCCTGTTATAAGGCAGCTGGATTATCCATGTCTTCAAACCGCTGTCCATCTCATGCTACAAGCTGCATTAACCTGAGCCGGTAAGCAGAAAATGACAGCCTTGCAACTTCAAGGGAACTGCAGTCTGTTGTGGTCAACTAACACGTCAATTATAATAACCCTAAAATGGAAAGAATAAAAGAATTAACAGTTTGCTTAAAGTTTAATAAAGTTTTTGTACATTATTGAAGTAGTTTGATATTTTATTGACTGCAGTCCACAGTTCTTTCTGTGTGGAAGAAGATAATATGATGTGCTAAGAGTGTTCTGACTGCCGTAAATGCTCTGTGAGTTGGGCTGACAGCTTGTGAAGCAGTCATTTGACAGCGTACGCTTGCTCTGTGTCCTCAGAACTAGCTCTGGAGTCATGCGATGCAGGGACAGTATTGTGGGGCTATCTCTGGCGTCGTCAGGTGCTGCTGTGGGCCCCGGTGCCCTTTGCACCACCTTGGCGCTGCCAGGGGGCCGCATGTTCTCCGACACTCAACGGACCAAACAGCAGGTTCCTGCATGGACCAGTTTACTGCTGCGGTGTCAGCTCTGGCTCCCTGTGCTGAAATGTCCTGGTTCTGTGGGGTGCTGGATGACGGGTTAATTAAAGTGACATCAGTTCTCATCCTGGTCTCTAGATCTAGGCTTTGAAAAAAACAATATGTCTCTTAGGCCATGAAAGGAGGTGGGAGGGATGTGTGGTCACAGAGGCCATTTCCTCACAGAACAGCGCTCAACCGGGATCAGGCTCTCCCTCCCCAGAGGATGCAGGAGCAGTGTTCCTCCTCTGTTGCTGTGAAGCTGCTTCGAGTGCCAGCAGATTTCTAGGTGTGCGAATAAATCAAAGATCAAAGGACGTCAATCTCAGGACTCCTTAGCTACTGGTCATGGTGTATTCGGATTTTCACTGTGTGTGAGTCATAAAATTCCCAAATGTGCTTAGCAACGCAGTGCATGATTGTCATGTTTACCAGATGTGGGCAAAAATCTGCCTTCCAGTCAAGGAGAAGTTCCCACTGCTCTGAAGCTGTTAGTGCAGACTGTTATCCTCAAAGTGACAAGGAACTTCTAAGGACTTTTACCCTGAGAGTGATGGGGAGCTTCTATGGACCATTGCTCTTGGAATGATTGGGAGCTCCTACAGACCGTTACCATGAGAGTAATGAAGACCTCCTATGGACTCTTTCCATGGGAGTGACAAGGGAGAGACTTACGGACCATTGCCCTCAGAGTGACTGAGTCCTCCTGTGGACCGTTACCTTCGGTCTTTGGACTCACGTGGGTGTTCATCGCACAGGAGTGCAGCTGTGATAATGATTTTTAAAATTTATCAAGTTTGCCAGTCAACTCCTAGTCTGAGAAGCTGGCCTAAAGTAAATTGTAGCCTGACTGTAAATGGAGAGCAGCATAAACACCTTTATAAGCTCCACTGTGATATGGTGTCCTTGTGTTCTGCCAAAACGGGGTCAATACTTCATGGAGAAACGTTGCACTTCAACACAGCAGCTGCGGGAGATCAATAGAAGCCAGCAGCTTTGAAAAGGAGCCACTGTAACATACTTTCCAAAGCCAATTTTGCCGGGATGCAAGCTTCCATGGGCTAAATCACACCTGGAGACCCATTTTCCATTGCTGAGGCTCATGGGAAGAAGGTGTTTGTCAGTGCCCTAGTTTCAGGTGGAACAAGGCTGGAGGTGTGATATACAGTGAGAGCTGTCCACATGGATGCGGTTATACTGATATTCATTGCGAGTCTCTTTGTCCAGCTGATTCCTCCATTGAATAATGGTGCATTATGCTAAATGAGGCTTTTTCCAGCTAGCGGGAAGCTTGCTATGGAGCCAAATCTGGGAGTGTGGGCAAGCAACCTCTGGTCTCACACCCGTAAAACCTTCAGCACAGAGCAAGGGTCACATTCTATAATCCTTGTGAACTGGTCAGTGTCACATATTGACCCTTGGAGCTTAGGGAAATACTCCTGGGGACGGTTGTACCTGCCTGGGCTCCCAGAGCAGTATGTATAATTCATGTGGTGGCTTTCAGGAGCCGTCAGTCTCTACTCCCCAACCCTCGTCTCACTCAGAACTGTAGCCCACTTTGATTGGTGGACCTGCTGGTTCGTTTTTTTCTCCCACCAGTGGCCTGTACTACGAAGTTGGGTTACTGGCTTATCGGGGTAACTTGTTGGATTTAAGGTCGTCTGGGCAAAATGTAAGTGAACGAATATGAAGTCCATTTAAACTGTGGTACCTTAAATCTGACAAGTTACACAGATAAACCAGTAACCCCGCTTCGCAGTACAGGCCACTGGAGCAGCCAGTCCAGGCTTCATGTTTACCCTCCTTTTCGTCATGCCTGATGATTTAGCTCCCAAGGGTGTTTTTATGTCTTTCATTAATTTGTCGTCTTTCAATTTCCATACTTCCCTCTGTGCTCTTTATTCTTGGACCGCCGCTGTTTTCTGGTTGATAATGAAACGTTGGTCCTTCATTTGTCGAAGGATACAGTGTCTTAGAAAAGCAAATATGCAGTCTGTCTGTCTGTCTCTCTCTGTCTGTCTCCAGCCAGTTCAGAAAACAGGAATGCAGGACTAAGTGCAGCTTAACCAGCTCTGAGTTACACTCCTAATATGACATTTGAATATGCATACATAATTACTGCTGAGATAATGACATCTTGCTGGAGAAAAAACTGCATTTTATAATTAGACCCCATTCTCACTCCACTGTATTAAAACAAAGCCTGGTGGACTGTGTGTGTGTGTGTGTGTGTGTGTGTGTGTGTGTGTGTGTGTGTGTGTGTGTGTGTGTGT